CATAGATATTGCAAGATATCCCAAACACAAACATGCACAAAGTGCACGTGTCTTTTTTTTATTTATAATTTTAATGAAACTAACCGTGTTGGTGTTCAGATAGAATATGTATAAAACAAGCCTGATGTTCATTTATCGCAAAAAAACAACAAGTACCTACAACAATTTAAATATCTGTACCATTATCCGCTAGTCCTACAATGTGACAATTTACACTACTTTTGTGTCTATATTTTTAGTTTTACTTATCTCGTGCCTTTCCCTGCCTCACTGGCGCTAACCGTAAGCGCAGTTATATTAGGGTACTTCCCCGTTACTTTACCAATGGGGTATATAGGTAACCCATCATACTGAGTTTTAATTATTGTTTGCATTGTGTGTAATCGCTAAAAATGTAGTAATGCCTATTATATTTTTCAACGTTCTTTTTAAAATGTCTTCTAAAAACAATTTTAGTAAACAAACCTGTCAGTTAGTATTCCAATTTATCTTGTTTTCCAATTCCGATAATTTTAAACATAGTAATAATAGAATGTTTACGGTGGTGGCAAATCAATTTAAAAAAAAGATGTTCCTAAACAATAACAGTCTTTTAGGGAATTATAATACTTTCAAACGTAGACGCTGATAAACAATACTAGGATTTTTTTGAGCAATTTTTTTATCTGATACTGAGTTAGAGTAAATAAGCAATTTCGTAATTTATTTTGTAATTAGCATTTACTTTCTTATTGTATACCACTGATTTCGAAACATTTTGCTATAGTTCAATTAATACTTTTTTTTCATATAAAATGAATGTCAAAACAAACTAATAGGTGCATTGGTCACTACATTAGCCTTTGTAGCAATGTGTTGTATCATTTACCACGTAGCATTCATGGAATAGGCCCCCGATTCATAATAAGGATAAACTGTCACTTTCAGGTATTTCAATTACAGTTTCATTTTTATTAGATTCAAAATTTGTTGCTGTTGCTTTAAAGCTTCGGACATTTAGTCCACATTAACTTTTTGTTCCCAACTAATATGCTAATTCGTTTAATAACTCATCGAGAATTGAACTGAGACACCCTTTTTTCAGGTCATAAATGGATGGGAGGTCTTTCTCGGCAACAAACTCTGTTAATAGGAATATTAGGAATTTTGTTTCTTCTTTCATTGGTGATATTAATTGTCATTTTAACAGTAAAACATTTTGAATCGTTTAATGACAACAACAATCAAAATGACGATTCCCCAGCGGGTAAGGAAAACTTTGAAACTCATTGAAAACATTTTCATTTCCTTAACCAACTTTACACCTATACATATAGGTAGCCATTCAATGTCCTCTTAATAAATAGTTTCTTTGACGTAAAGATTGGAGTGAATACTTCTTATGCATACATGTCGTGATAAACTCGGGGTACGAAGAGATCTGTCTACCATACCGTTATCACTGTTCGCTTTGCTCACTGAATTATCAACCTGGTTCAATCTTTGGCAAGAATTAGTTAAATCTTCTTACTAATCAAAATAAAATTTATCATGCACGTTGTTTTCTCGTTATGGTTAGGTCTAGTCTGTTCTCCAACTGATGCTAACGTATGACGCTTATAATTTTTGGTTGAACCGAAAGATTTCGTCTGACGCATCCTAGGAACAGCAACAACTGTACTAATTTGGTATAAGAAGTACTCACTTCAATCAATTGCAACAAGTCAAAAACCCACCCCTTTTTTCATTTGTTTATGATTATCTATCGCATAAATCATAAATCGTTATTTATCTCCTCGTGCAAACAAATTCTTCACAATTTACATCATTCTACAGACTCAGATGGCGTGAACGGAACATTGCCAAACAACGTAAGGATTATATCCCGTCTGGAGTGGGTCGCTCAGCCTCCCGTACAAACTCCTAACGAGCTCACTCTTCCCGTATCTTACGTCATAATATGGCACACTGCTACAGAGAATTGTAGCGATCAAGCAGCCTGTATTTTACACGTACGTACAATTCAAACGTTTCATATTGACAGTCGTCACTGGTGGGACATCGCGTACAATTTTTTGGTCGGTGGAGACGGAAACGCTTACGAAGGAAGGGGTTGGACGAAAGAAGGGTCGCACACGTACGGTTACAATAAGAATTCCATCGGGATTGCCTTTATAGGAACTTTCATAACGGTCAAACCGCCAGAACGGCAACTAAATGCGTGTAAGGCTGTTATAGATATGGGTGTAAAACAGGGATACATAGCAAAAGATTACAAGCTCCTCGCAGCGAAACAATTGATAGGGACGCAAGCACCCGGAGCCGTTCTGTACGAAGAAATTAAAACTTGGCCTCATTGGTCTGCGCTGCCTTGAAAACAAGCAATAGAGAAAACAACAACAACCCAAAGTCAAAATCCTTTTGTTTCATACAGGATATATATAATATCCCATAAAGGCTGTGAGTTACAGACATTAAAGGTTACTGATACTAACATTATGTAATATGTAAATATTTGTATGCTTTATGTTGTATAATACGAATTATATATGTAAATAGAGTGAAATATAAGCAATACTTAAATACCTGCAGAACAATTTATTTTACTTAAAGCATATTCTGGGAGACCACAGGTGATTTGTAACAATTTATTGCATCTTCTATTCATATAAAATATACAAAGTGAATATATATGTGTAATACTGATTCCAGATAGTTGCATTAGGGTTTGATTTTTATTAACTTTAAAGTAAATTACTGTCGCTATTGCTACGCAATTTATACCAAACAGTCAATCACACCCTTGTGTGAATAAATGTAATAAAGTCTTGAAAGTCAGAAATTAAACGTCAGATTATGTGGTCTAACATCTTGTCCCAACAAATGATATTGATAGCGTTATTGTTCACCGCAATTTAGATAAAATTAGAAGTTTAAATAAGCTACCATATGCACACATTCGCCCACAAAAAAAAAATACTAAAAATTTTTATTAAACAGCAAGAATATAAATAATAAAAAATATAAGATTTTTTGGTTTAATATATCATCATGTTAGTATTGAACTGAAGCACCCTCTTTTCAGGTCATAAATGGTTGCGAGGTCTTTCCCGACAACAAACTCTGTTGATAGGAATATTAGGATTTTTGTTTCTTATTTCGTTGGTGATATTAGTTGTCATTTTAGGAGTAAAACGTTTTGAAACGTCTGAGAATACCAATAATCGAAAAGACGAAGACTATATTGGAACTCCGATAGACTCCCCAGTGGGTAAGAAAAAATTTGAAAATGCTTATCTAAATTTGTATTCTCATTATTATTGTTAAATAATTACTGTCTGTCTCATGAAAGGACTATTTAATATCAGACGGTGTACAAACATATAGGTCAAAGTTTAAATTTAGGCTAGCAGGTTTCTCCTTTTCTTCATTGAATTTTTTTGACTTTGGGAGCAAGTTCGTAATTTCCTTCGTCCGATCAGGCTTGGCAGATTATGTGGGTACTGTGGGTAGTTGATGGGTGTTTGACATTTTAAATGCTTCTCGCAATGGTTTTTCAGTAAATATAAGGAAAAGTGTGGAAAATTCTTGTTGATCTTCATCTAAATGAACCCCCCAAACTCATTCAGGCCAAACATGATCTGCCGGGTTTGCTTCTGATATATAGGGTTGTTCGGANATTTTTCTTACAATTTACCGCTACAATTTTATAGTCAAATTTAAGTTTAGCGTTAGTAAACCTAACTACAAATTTGAGTTGCATTTTCTTCAAAACGACCTCTACAACGTTATAGTAATTTTTCTTACAGCATTTTTCTGAGTGTAAGCTTTGAAATGTTCATTTATTCTTTCTTGGAAGGATCTACCCGTTTGTCTTATGTATACCTATTCACAATCTCCACATTTTGTTTTATTATTTGTTTTGTCTTTTCTGTTTTTTTTTTTTATTCCTTAACAGTTTTTTGTTTTGTATGAAATTACTACAAGTGCTAATAAAGGTGACGTTTCTCTTTAGGTATAGAAGGGTGGTGATTTTCATCAAGACTTACCGAGATATCCCAGATATAGACAAAAAAGTACCGAAACTATTAAAGCTTTGTTTAGGCACATCTTCACATAAGTGACTTAATATTTATTTTTGTTCACTATTTCTAGGTCTGTGTTTTTATAGGTATGGAGGTGAATTATTCACACGTAGAACTCCTTTGTAGTTGTAGGGTAATAATCACTATTTCAGTGGTGTTATTATAGATAACGGAGTACCACTTTTTTTAATGTTTAGATAGAATTGTTATCGCAATGTGTACAATACCTACGTAGTTTGTACTTTTTTACTTTTGCCCATTCTACTTAAGGTAAAAACGAAATTACAAAAATGTCACAGTACTAAGAAATATTTCAGTTGCATAATTTTTGAAATTCATACTTTCTGATAAGATTTTATCGAAATAGCTTTTTTAGTCGTATGAACAAGATAAAAAACACTTTACATAAAATATAGCTGCTGCTATATAATTTAGTCCATTATCACTGGAAAGCCTTTATTAACGTAACAATTTGGGACGAATGTAAAAATGTCGACTGTTTTAAGTCTCTTCACAAGTATATTCCTTTCGATATTATTATACGTGAGCAGTTCAACAAACTTTTAAGAGAATTTCAAAGTTATCGACCGATTGGCAATCCAAATATGTTTAATCAAACTAGCATTTGTTGTAAACAGCAAATGAAATGCAAATTCTCTACATATAACAATATCTTTTATTTATTACGAAAAACTCGTTTTCAGTTTTCATTTCTCGCGATGATTCGTTTAGGAAGGATGTAGAAATTGTACAATTTTTATCATTATTTTTACGAGTGAGTACGTTTATTGTTTATAATAGAAAGGAATTGTTCTTGGTGAAGCGTACGAAACGACGATATAGCATTAATTTGTGACGTAAAAGGAAATTTTTGAGGTCATCAAGTAAGTTGTTAACTGCACCCAACACATCATGAAATATCACAACGAAAAGATGTCATGGCTGAATTAAAAACTGCAAAAGTTTGTATATGAATAATAATAATTTTATATTATGCATTTTAAAAAGATTTAAACATAAAAATAATAGTTAGAATCAAATACATTTATATATAAATCCAACCAAATCCAGTATAATCTTAGATAAACATTAACGACTTCAGAACACTTACTGTTAAGTATTTATTATAAGTAAAATACAATATTTAGATGTTGTAGATATGCATAAGTATATAACTAAACTGATCCTAATAGAGCTCATAGCACTTGTATCCAATTGGATATTCTATAAAACATTAATTGTTGTACTTTCACACCTAAATTGTGCACCATTTCTCACTGGAAATGTAATGAATAAAATAGAACAGAGAATGCGGTAAATTGTCATCTATAAAACATAGGCAACTAACTGCAATCTGCAAAATTTATATTCTGTCCAAGGATTTCTACTTCTACTTGTTTAGCAGAGATGTGCGTCACTAAATTTAATGCGTTCATCAGTAAGTAAAACGAATGTATTGTATAAATACAAATGTTGTACTTGTGGTCACGGATCTATAAAAACTATCAGGCGCCTTGAAATCTAAATCGTATTGTCACGTGCTAGATTCCAATATGGCGTTACTTGGTCGCCATTTTAGTTTCTGCTACTTAGACTAGATATTACAATGCCTTGTTCTGGACTATTTTAACTTTTGCGTATAGCGATTGTGTCTGGATCAATTAGATATTTAACGACATTCGATAGTATTCCATCATTCGTACTTCATAATAGAATTTACAAATAAACTGCAAAATTAGAGGTATTTCAAAATCCCATGGGCCCCGAAATGCACGAAGGGAATTGCATTTGTACTGTACTTTTTACAAACATTGACTCGACAGCTAACACTACTATACAACTAGGGACTGAGCTCTAAATAAACTGTAAACCGTGGCGACCATTGCTTTTAAGAAGTATCTAGAAATGTTGAAGTCAATGAACGGACGGAGTTTTATCACTTTGCAGCCCAAGCTCATGACCTATGGTGTGTCCCATATTTCTCGGGCTTGAGGTCAATTGTTACCACTGCCTTTTCTGGATCGATTCGTACAGACTATATTGATGACGTAAACGCAATTTCTTAATAATTTAGCAATATCTGTATTATCTGTTAATCTTGAATGTATTGATATAAAATGCTATTCACAATATTTTTCCAACAGGTACGTAAACAACTTGAATTTGTTGGCGGGTTTGATGAGTGGCTGCGCAATTAAGTCGAACCAGCGCAGCATTTCATTGGTATTCGCGTATCATTTTTCACAAAGTTCTGAACGAAAAGAGAACGATCGTCGGGAACGTGTTGTTTTTAATATTTAACCTTTAGATTGGCGACGGACCTGCTCGTGACAGGATTAGATAGTGCAGAGTGCCTTATCAGTGTCTGTTTTGCGATTCTTACGAATTAACAAATCTCATACAGTGTACGTGAAAGTGTAGAAAGTTGAATTTTTAACACATTTGAAGGAATCAACAAGGAAAAACTAAAAACAATCGAGAAGTCACACCTACAGTTTGAAGGCCAATACACAACACAAGTTTTCTTTCTTGTTATTTGGAAAGGTATACACCTTATATGTATTGTAAATGTCGTCAATCTTACATGGATATATCTAATTAGTTTTGCGATTCTTGGAAGTGAAATAATTAACGACAAGTTTGGGCTTTTTGAAATGCAGTTGAAATTTGTAAATTATATAAGAATCGTGCTACTTATTTCTTGCAGTATTTTGTAGCTTCGCGAATATAATTAACACGGAGTTAGTGCATGACCATGTAAATGAGATAATGATGTTAGTATTTGGTATCAGCTAAATGCAGACAATGGATGTAAAACATAATAAATTTTGTTGGTAATGATATACGGCTAATCTGTAAACTGTTTAAAAACGAAGCTTTATTAAATATTGAAAATGAGACACCCTGTAAATTACAAAAACCCTTAAAAATGTTGATCTAAGTACATTAAATCCCTCACAATTGTTATCTTTTCGAAGAAAGCATAATCACATAAATATTCGAGATAAGTGATTTTAAAAGATTTAGAGAGATTTAGAAAAATGTAGCACTTTTTAATGCGGCTAGGAAATCAAGCAAACGACTAACTGAAGCTTATCATCTTTAGTTTCTAATTGGATAGCACTCGAGAGTGGGGCATTATAAATGCGGTGTATTAATGAAATAACAAATTAATTGACACGTTAACTTGTTTTCGTACTTCACGTTTCTGAAGTTAAAATTATTCTGATTCTACTGCATCATTTCTTACGTATATAAGCCAAATACAAGAGATATTTTAATTTAAAACCTTCAGATTTCTGGGAGGGCAGTTATGCTAGTGGTAACCACCCGTTGGTGTAATGGTCACATTTGCTGAATCGTACCAAGTATCTTGTGTCGATAATGAAGATGCTCATGGCCGAGAAGCAGAAGATTCAAATGAGGAGTGCGACTCGTCATCGTCTTCGTCAGAAGAGGAGGAAGAAAGTGGTGCAGTGGTATTAGTCGACGACATAGCAAAATCAAAACCCTCCTTTGGTAATGTTACGGTGTCGAATTCGTCGGACGTGCATTTTGGCAACAAAACGTTTTATCAAGGACCAGTGACCATCAAACAGATCGTGTATGCAAAGAATGGTCGCAATGAGACGTTAACTAGTGATGACGGTAGTGTTTTAAGAGACGATAGGTTGATCTTGGACTGTGCTCAAATTGGCGAAGAAAAATTTAACGAAGGCTTTGTTAACGATGAACAGGACAAAAACAAAGTTTGTGGTCAGAATGGGAGAGTTGTGGGAGGCGCTTATCAGCCGCAAGGTTTAGGTGGGTAAAATGAAAGTAGATTTTTTATTGAAACAAGAACTCAGTAGTGAATTCTAGGATTTGAATCCCAGTTTACACCAATTCGTTTTCCTTAAATCCTAATTCAAACAATTCTTACGTCCAAGCTAAAATTGTGGGTAAAATGTGGCAATAATAAGCTTATTATTTTTGGCATTTTGCATCTCAAACCTAGTGGAATTATTTTCATAATTTCTGACGTTGAAATCAGTGGCTTCCCCAAGGGAAAGGGCAGAGATTAGCTTGTGGTAAAGGATCAAAAATCGCCGTCAGTCGAAGTTGCTTCCTAACGTTTTGCTAACACGATAAACGAGCTTCTTCACAAATCCTTTCGACCCGAATCAGTTCATCAACTAGTCGCGAAAGCCTTTACCAAATATATTTATTTTACCTAATATATTCTATCTTGGCCTCCCCCTTAACTATTGGCTAAATCAATTACATTTCAGCAGCAATGCCTAAATTCTACCTTATCGCAATGTTTATTGCAACGAAACACCCCCTTGTTATATCGCGGGTGGCTAATTTAGATATAAAAAAATTAATTGTTATAACCTGCTTCTCGATGCTTCTGATTGGCTGTTACGTCGGCAGCCATTTTCTTGATCGGTTCAAAGTAGGTCAAGGCCAATACACCTGCATTTACGGGAATGCCGGAAGTAACGTTATTTAATAACTACCCCAACAAGAATTCCAATCAGAAAGGTTTAAAAAGGGGATAACTCGGTTATTTATTAACCGATTTAAATATAGTTTTCACTAAAATTTAGGAAATTGAACGCCGCTTAACAATAATAAAAAATAGATCATCTTAATTTATAAATATGCGATAAACGCAATTGTTTTACATACAATATTAAACAATTAATAAATAATAATAGACGTAAGTACGAAAAAAAAAAACGGTTATACCTGCATATAGGCTACTATAAGTAATTATATCAAAATCTCATTATTTTGACGATTGTTACTGATCGAGCTCAATGAAATACCTATTAGATATTCTTGTCTTATCAAAATTCAAATTCTCTTAAATGTTGTGCAGCTTATCACGTAGGTATATTAATATTGTGGATTTTTGTCGTATGTTAGAAAAGAGTTTTATGCTGAAGACTGTTAAAATGCGTTAGGTACTTGAACTGCACGAAATAGGTCAAAATTTCTACGAATTCTGCTTATCAGAATATTGTCAATGTAGGTAAAGATTTATGATCTTTTTTAGAATATGCCGACAGATAACAACATGGCAAACATTAAAGTCAGGTAGATAAGAATAAGCATTTTTATGCAATTTTAAATCGCAAAAGTAAAAAAACAGTTTTGTTGGAAAATTACTTCATTTTCTTTGAGTTGTCACTAATTGATATTACAACAGTTTGAGTCCAATGATCTATTGCTTAAAACAAAATAAGCAACCATTTTTCTTATATATCGTATGATAATACCTACATATAGAATTGTAATTATATTCTTTGATAAGATTACGTTCATGAATTCCTATTTATAATTTTAGAATTTCTTCTAAGAAATTGCGAATTAGAAAAAAACAATTCCACGAAAGGTAATAAATAAATCAAGTTTTCATATCATGGTTGATAAGTCATCGTTAGAGTACTTTTCACCGAAACAATTAATTTTACTTAAAATGAAGACGTAGGTATTTGATATTTTTATTGATAACTAGATAAACTACAAGCAGTTAAGTCACTTGTTTCCCTTTTTTAGTTAGGTATATACATTTAAAATGAATTCGCTTTAAAGTTTACCCTTAACCAAACAAGTAAAACGGCAACTGACTAGTTACTAGTTAAATTTAGTTTTAAACTTCTCCTTAATTTTTCCTAAATGCAACTAAACAAATGAAGCCANTGTTTCCCTTTTTTAGTTAGGTATATACATTTAAAATGAATTCGCTTTAAAGTTTACCCTTAACCAAACAAGTAAAACGGCAACTGACTAGTTACTAGTTAAATTTAGTTTTAAACTTCTCCTTAATTTTTCCTAAATGCAACTAAACAAATGAAGCCATGTTGAGCTGGATAGTCGTTATATTCAAAATGGCGACAAGTTACCACCATATTGCTAAAAGTGTGAGAGTTTGAACGGCACATTTTCAAAGTCACATAGTCGAATTATTGCAATTTTGTGAATTGTTTGCTTAACAAGAGATAAAATTTTTATTCGGTCGGCATTTTTATTGTTAGCATTTTATTTTTATGCTCGACGATTGATCAACTGTGTTATCAAAAAATAAAAATGTAGTGTAGAAGTTTTTTTCTGTACGTGATTCGTTCGTTAATACTACAATTAACTGATACCAGCAATTTAGGATTAACTGGCACTCGTAACGACTTAGTTTGAATGCCGTTAAAAATACGAATAATCGTATGTTTAATATACTACAATATATTTTTCACAATGCATGCTAGCAACTGCCCTTGAGAAAGTTGTTTATATTGATGACCAAAGTCACACACACATAGATATTGCAAGATATCCCAAACACAAACATGCACAAAGTGCACGTGTCTTTTTTTTATTTATAATTTTAATGAAACTAACCGTGTTGGTGTTCAGATAGAATATGTATAAAACAAGCCTGATGTTCATTTATCGCAAAAAAACAACAAGTACCTACAACAATTTAAATATCTGTACCATTATCCGCTGGTCCTACAATGTGACAATTTACACTACTTTTGTGTCTATATTTTTAGTTTTACTTATCTCGTGCCTTTCCCTGCCTCACTGGCGCTAACCGTAAGCGCAGTTATATTAGGGTACTTCCCCGTTACTTTACCAATGGGGTATATAGGTAACCCATCATACTGAGTTTTAATTATTGTTTGCATTGTGTGTAATCGCTAAAAATGTAGTAATGCCTATTATATTTTTCAACGTTCTTTTTAAAATGTCTTCTAAAAACAATTTTAGTAAACAAACCTGTCAGTTAGTATTCCAGTTTATCTTGTTTTCCAATTCCGATAATTTTAAACATAGTAATAATAGAATGTTTACGGTGGTGGCAAATCAATTTTAAAAAAAAGATGTTCCTAAACAATAACAGTCTTTTAGGGAATTATAATACTTTCAAACGTAGACGCTGATAAACAATACTAGGATTTTTTTGAGCAATTTTTTTATCTGATACTGAGTTAGAGTAAATAAGCAATTTCGTAATTTATTTTGTAATTAGCATTTACTTTCTTATTGTATACCACTGATTTCGAAACATTTTGCTATAGTTCAATTAATACTTTTTTTTCATATAAAATGAATGTCAAAACAAACTAATAGGTGCATTGGTCACTACATTAGCCTTTGTAGCAATGTGTTGTATCATTTACCATGTAGCATTCATGGAATAGGCCCCCGATTCATAATAAGGATAAATTGTCACTTTCAGGTATTTCAATTACAGTTTCATTTTTATTAGATTCAAAATTTGTTGCTGTTGCTTTAAAGCTTCGGACATCTAGTCCACATTAACTTTCTGTTCCCAACTAATATGCTAATTCGTTTAATAACTCATCGAGAATTGAATTGAAACACCCTTTTTTCAGGTCATAAATGGATGGGAGGTCTTTCTCGGCAACAAACTCTGTTAATAGGAATATTAGGAATTTTGTTTCTTCTTTCATTGGTGATATTAATTGTCATTTTAACAGTAAAACATTTTGAATCGTTTAATGACAACAACAATCAAAATGACGATTCCCCAGCGGGTAAGGAAAACTTTGAAACTCATTGAAAACATTTTCATTTCCTTAACCAACTTTACACCTATACATATAGGTAGCCATTCAATGTCCTCTTAATAAATAGTTTCTTTGGCGTAAAGATTGGAGTGAATACTTCTTATGCATACATGTCGTGATAAACTCGGGGTACGAAGAGATCTGTCTACCATACCGTTATCACTGTTCGCTTTGCTCACTGAATTATCAACCTGGTTCAATCTTTGGCAAGAATTAGTTAAATCTTCTTGGTAATCAAAATAAAATTTATCATGCACGTTGTTTTCTCGTTATGGTTAGGTTTAGTCTGTTCTCTAACTGATGCTGAGGCATCATAATTTTCATTAAACCGAAAGATTTCGTCTGATGCATCCTAGGAACAGCAACAACTGTACTAATTTGGTGTAAGAAGTAGTCACTTCAACCAGTTGCAACAAGTCAAAAACACACCCCTTTTTCATTTGTTTATGATTATCTATCGCATAAATCATTAATCGTTATTTATCTCCTCGTGCAAACAAATTCTTCACAATTTACATCATTCTACAGACTCAGATGGCGCGAACGGAACATTGCCAAACAACGTAAGGATTATATCCCGTCTGGAGTGGGTCGCTCAGCCTCCCGTACAAACTCCTAACGAGCTCACTCTTCCCGTATCTTACGTCATAATATGGCACACTGCTACAGAGAATTGTAGCGATCAAGCAGCCTGTATTTTACACGTACGTACAATTCAAACGTTTCATATTGACAGTCGTCACTGGTGGGACATCGCGTACAATTTTTTGGTCGGTGGAGACGGAAACGCTTACGAAGGAAGGGGTTGGACGAAAGAAGGGTCGCACACGCACGGTTACAATAAGAATTCCATCGGGATTGCCTTTATAGGAACTTTCATAACGGTCAAACCGCCAGAACGGCAACTAAATGCGTGTAAGGCTGTTATAGATATGGGTGTAAAACAGGGATACATAGCAAAAGATTACAAGCTCCTCGCAGCGAAACAATTGATAGGGACGCAAGCACCCGGAGCCGTTCTGTACGAAGAAATTAAAACTTGGCCTCATTGGTCTGCGCTGCCTTGAAAACAAGCAATAGAGAAAACAACAACAACCCAAAGTCAAAATCCTTTTGTTTCATACAGGATATATATAATATCCCATAAAGGCTGTGAGTTACAGACATTAAAGGTTACTGATACTAACATTATGTAATATGTAAATATTTGTATGCTTTATGTTGTATAATACGAATTATATATGTAAATAGAGTGAAATATAAGCAATACTTAAATACCTGCAGAACAATTTATTTTACTTAAAGCATATTCTGGGAGACCACAGGTGATTTGTAACAATTTATTGCATCTTCTATTCATATAAAATATACAAAGTGAATATATATGTGTAATACTGATTCCAGATAGTTGCATTAGGGTTTGATTTTTATTAACTTTAAAGTAAATTACTGTCGCTATTGCTACGCAATTTATACCAAACAGTCAATCACACCCTTGTGTGAATAAATGTAATAAAGTCTTGAAAGTCAGAAATTAAACGTCAGATTATGTGGTCTAACATCTTGTCCCAACAAATGATATTGATAGCGTTATTGTTCACCGCAATTTAGATAAAATTAGAAGTTTAAATAAGCTACCATATGCACACATTCGCCCACAAAAAAAAAATACTAAAAATTTTTATTAAACAGCAAGAATATAAATAATAAA